GCGCAGTATAGGTCAGATTTTCGTTGGATAAAAATGTGGTAATTGAAAATTTCAAAAATGTAATAAATATCTTCATCTAGAAGTAATCGCTAACACACAGTCCCACATCTTATATTTAGAAGTGACGAGGAAGAGCCACAGTTCATCTACGATCACATCGTTTGCCGAAAAGATAGTCAACGAAAGCAGGATGTAAGCTTTTGCACATTCTCCTCAAAGTCGCTTTTAGTCATAAAAATGTTGTAGGCGTGGTCGTCCTTTACTCCATCAAGCAAACGAGAACACTGCATGAAAGAACTTCTAGATACTGAACAGAATTATGTAGAAAAAGCTCTGAATATGATAATCAACAAATTTTACGAGCCGCTTCAAAAGGTCGTACGTGAGGCAGACCACAAAATCATCTTCATGAATATCATGGTGCGTCTTTCTCATTTTGGCTCTTGTAGATCTCTTAGAAGATTTTTTTCAAGACTCTATGGAACCTACATCACTCATTCCATAGCGATTTGCGGCATGCGGTTTTGAAAACTCTTGGGTTGAGCCAGAGCAGTGAAGGACGGCCTAATTCATTATTAGGAAGAACGATTGGAGATGTGTTTCTGCAGTGAGTTTGACTTTGATATCTTTTCCAGATTCTCTGTGTATGCCATATTTATGTAGGCATAAGGACAAGTTTATCGCTTATGGTCCTTATTGTATGGGCCTTGGTGAATCTCGAGCGCGAATACTTGAACTCGAGAAGAACGATCCTACTATTAAGAACAAAATATATGTGAGTTCTCAATGAATTTCTTGCATTTCGGAAGCACCTCTCTAATTTAGGAATGTACTGCATCCGTCAATGATAATCAATTTAAACTGCAAGATCTGTTGTGTTTGCCAATGCAGCGGGTGCTGAAATATCATATACTGCTCTCGGTAAGCGTAGACTTTCGTTAGTTTTGTACACTGAGTTGCTCTGTAATGCGCTTTTCATTTCATCACTGTCATCTTCCCAGTTGGTATGGCATTTTTGACATACTTTTTTTT